CATGTGGCTCAGACCTTATGACTTTTTGAGTTATCGTTAACTGCCTTGCAATTTTTCAACAAACAGAGCAAAAAAATCTATTGATACATGGTAAAGGATAATACAGCACAGAGCCAATTATGCCACTTCCCTGCTATTTCCGACTCCTACTGTGGCCTCTTGGGGTTGTAAAGAGTCAATTTTTTTGCCTGTACTATTTAAGGAAACCTGAACTCTAACATGGTTTGTTATTTTCTTTATACAGTTTACACAGTTGTTACTTTCAGGTTATACAATCCTTGTCAAAAGGGCATTTTGGAGTGAGAACAATCATGGGCACTAATTTCAAAAGGTTGTTCCACAGCCAAGGTGCACAAAACTGGACCCATTCAAATATGGAACTAGATTAGTCTCAAAATTTAATTCAATTACAATTCGTAAATTCAAAACATGATTAAAAAATACACAAATCCAATTCGTAAATTCAAAACGCAACTTAAAAATACACAAATCCAATTCGTAAATTTAAAACACGATTCAAAAATACACAAATTCAGTTTGTAAATTCAAAACACGTTCAAAAATACACAAATCTAGTTTGTAAATTCAAAATGCGATTCAAAAATACATAAGTTCAGTTCGTAAATTTAAAACATGATTAAAAATACACAAATCCAATTTGTAAATTCAAAACACATTTTAAAATTCCAAAAATCCTATTTGTAAATTGAAAGCATGATTCATAAATGCACAAATCCAATTTGTAAATTTAAAACACGATTTATAAATGTACAAATTTAATTCATAAATTCAAAACATGATTCAAAAATACACAAATCCAATTCATGAATTTAAAACACGATTTATTAATACACAAGCCCAATTCGTGAACTCAAAACACAATTTAAAAATATGTAAATCCAATTCATTTGCTGAAAATATTTAAGACTTTTACTTGTCAATGCAGGAATTGTGTGTTTAAAAATGTACAAATTGGGTTTTGTAAAAGTGAATTGTGCTGTGCTTGTATGAATTTTATTTTGTAAATATATTATTTCTGGCTCCATATTCGGATCGAAGAATTCTAAAGACAGTGGACAGTCTTCATTCATGTGATATGATGCAACATGACACAGAAGTTCATACCAAGGAACATTTATTTTGTTCCTTCGCCTCTTTAAAGCTTTGAGTTGAGTTGAGCCCATTAGTAATGGAATAACGCCTATGTCAGGGACTATTCAGACATTTGTCTACCATTTAACACAAGCGTCAATTTAGCTCACTGGATGATCATTCTAAGACGCAAGATGGCATTGGTTTAATTTTTATGAATGAGAAAATTTGAATCCATAATGGAGTTCTGTCCATTACAGAACTTTACAGTATTTTATTTCTAAGTATAATTTGTAAATAAGACATACGTCAACACTCCGGCTTTCCACATAGTCTCCTATACTTCACACATTTCTCTTTCCTTCAGGAAAACTCCTTTTTATAGCTCAAACCTTGTTATATGAATAATCACATCAACATATAACTCCAAGGTTGTCCTGTTACCAAATCTGTGATGAAACTACTCACACATTCAACACATCATATTCACCTTATTCTCCGCAGACGAGCGGGCGCTGCCATTTGAATCTTTTTGTCTCGCGACTTCCGGTCTCATTCACTTCCATTCATTTTTTGACATTAAAAACTGCTCATTACGCTGATTGATGTTGCAATTTAATATTTTCTTATTATATTATTCTACTTGGTCTGTATAGTCATGCAAAAATTTGTTTGTAGAGCAAGTAGTTTGACCATTTTCTGCCGTTTATTATTCTTGTCATTTCTCCCATAGGCGACTGAATCGAAAGTTCTAAGACAATCGCGAAAACAGGCGCACTTCCGCATTTTAGAATAAGGTCAATAGATTTCAAACCATTTGTGACCTCAAATTGGCAACCTACAACCCAGTTGTGCTGCTGATGCCTTTGCAGGTACATTAAGAAAGAAATGAACAAAAGCTTCCCTGTGGCCAAACGTGTAATTCATGTTTTCCTTTGTGTTGACTCGTTATATAAATATGTGCACTTTTTAAAATGGTACATAAATGGGGTACAACACAATTTACTTTAAAGGCTTTTTAATCGAGAATGTAGTTGTTTAGATTGTAGTTTAGATTGTTGTTTAGATTTGCATTGTAACTATGCAGTTTATTAAGAATAGTGCCTATTTTAAATATTTATAATTTCTGAGTGACAGTGTGTTGGTGGTGGCCATTAGTTTGTCATTGTGCAGACCAAAGACAGTTGATGTTGTCCATCCACAAGATGGCGACAGAGACCGTATCATAAGCCCTTAGAGGAGGAAAAACCCAGCGTAATTTTAAACTGCAGCTGATAAAATCATTATAAATCTGGTGAGTGACATTCTAAGTTGATCAGACTTTTTTGTATGCTGTAGTGCTGTATTTATACCATAGTAATTGTAGTGTGTTGACTCTGAGCGTGAGATGGGACTCACATGTTAGAAATGTATGTATTTTGTGGTGGCCACTCTTTGTATAACCCTGAGTTGGTTGGCAAGCGGTTTTTAACGAGTCTGATGCTTTCGTTCCTGCAGACTTCAATAAACAGAAAGAAAGATGAAATGCCTGTGTTTAGCGTTTTTCCTTATCACAAACATAACCATAATCTGGTTCATGATGTTTCTGCATGCGTTTCTCCTCATCTGTGGTGAGTTTGATACTTTTATCATTTTTGCGAAGCCACATAGTTTGCTTTGTTTTGTTTTTTGACAGGGTTAATTATTGTGATCTCCCGATTGCAACAGAGAAATACTGGGAAATCGCTGTAGACTGATGGCATTTTATAATCTTAATTTGTGGGCAAAATCATCAGTTTTGTCATCACTTTAGACATTACGCTAGAGCATCATTCAAACATTAGCTCTAAAGTGACATTGGTGAAGTAGTAACGGTATCTGCTGTTTTAAAGATCAGTTGTCATGTTACACTCATGTAAATGAGCTGCGGAAGAAAGTAGTTCCTCATACAAAAGGATTTTTAGGCTGTGTTTTTATATATATTTAAATATATATATATATATATATATATATATATATATATATATATATATATATATATATATATATATATATATATATATATACACACACACACACACACACACAAACAATTATGCAGTCAAACTGTTGTATAAATGCATTATCACACTTGTAGCAGTGCGATATGACTATATTGTTATTGGTTGAACACCAAGGCCCTCAACCTGCAGCCTTGTGCCAATGCATGTCTCCTACAAGTGCCGATATACAGCCATATCGCACAATATTGCTCAAGATCTCCCACATTTCGGCACCTAGAAGTTGCATAAGTATGGATATATACAGCAGAAGTGCAGTCTGAGGAACAATTTTTAACATTTTATGCTTTGTTTTATTTAGTGTTAGTTTTAATTAGGCCCTACTCCAAATGCTAAGCCTGAGACAAAAGTCTGGCAGCTCTACCACTCATGTTGTGGCCCTTTTGAAATAGTAAAATTCCTGTTGAGTTTTGTGTAATGTTATCTACTTAATTCTACCATGTTATGCATACTTCTTTTGGATATAGCACGGAAGTTGATACATAGACATGATTAAGGGTCCAGCATGTGAAATGTCAGATGGCTAGATATGGCAAAACTGACCAGTCAGAATCATTTTGTGCACATTAATAGTACAACAGTTGTTTTCTGATATGACCATGAATTTAGTTGCACACTCCCTTAGCAATGAAATGCGAAGCAACCGATCATTTTTACATCCAGAGGTGAGTCTCAGCGCAGGTCTCAGCTTAGCCTCGGCTTTGGTCATTTTTATTTGGATAGCACACCAGATGGGGAACTGCTAAATATAGTGCAAGGACATCAATAATCCTCAAGCAGGGGTGTGGAGATGGCTGTTCCTCCATCTGCGTCCGTCTATGAATTAGATTCATGGTGAGGGAGTGGAGTTTGATAGCTACATCATAGTGTGAGGTTATGATTGGCTCTAAGACATACACACTTCACATCATGCTGCTTTAGTTAATGTGTTTTTACAGTAAGGTGTTGTGCAATGTTGTTTTCATCCGCTAGGGTGCAGTCTTGATGTTTTCATTAAATATAAGTTTAACGCCTGTCATTTCAGATATCAACCAGCTCTAGATCATGTACATTTGCTGTAATTTACTGATTAAGTTTATTAAAGCAGTCTTCATGTCATTTATGGGGATAAAGTCAGAACAATACAATGGTGAAGTGAGTTTTAACTTGTTTGTGACTGTTGAAAAACAAAGTGTATACACTGTTAAACCCAACAATCAACTTTATCAAATGAAATGAGTGTCGTTAACTCAAAATTGACTGAAAGTTAATTCTACTCATTTGAAAAGAGTTTTAAACTCAGTGTTAAAGGTAATGAGTTAATTTAAAACCTCATTACTTCAGCTTAAATGGAGATTCACAGTCATCATATAGATAATTTCTTTAACTTTAATTGTTTCCTCGAATTAGTTTTTGAACTTAAATGGTTTGTTGCAATCGGTTTTCTCAAATGGTTTGAGTTACCTTAACTTATTGGGTTTTACTTATTGTAAAAATGTCCATATAGCAGTTTTCCATATTTTGTGATTCATGTTTTCTCACTTATTCATGTTTTTAAATTGCATATTGGGATCTTGATCTTTCTTCCAAAAGCTTTTGATGTTGAAAATTTTGAAAAGTGACTTTTGTTAAAGTTTTAGTTTGAAGTGTTTGTGCAGTAACATGTAACAAAAACATGTAATAAACTGCCAGTACTTTTTTTTCCACAGACTTAATTCTCTATATTATTTCTTAAACATTATCATGTCTCAAACTACTAAAATATCAATAAAAGTTAATTTTTTGCAATTTGCAGTGTTGAATTTTTTAACAACAAAAGTCAACCGAGCATAAATAAAACACAAATAATGCAATTCACAACCGTATATAAACATAAAACACCACAAAATATGGAATCTGATAATTACCGTTTATTTTTACAGTCTAGATAGGATGGCAATATAAGCTTTTAAATATTTTATACTTAATTTATATTTCTTTTTGTGGTTGACATCAAATATTGTGCATCAAGTCAAATTATTGTGACAAAAACAACAATATTAGACAAGCTTTGTAACATGTCCATGAATGAAATGAGAACAAATATGGTGTGTTTCAAACTGAAACATATTTTATAAATCAATGCCTATTTAAAATATATTTATACATTTAGTTTTCATACATTTATACATTTCTGTGTAATGAATTTCACAACTCTAATAGTTTCAAAACCTTTGTTACCAGACTTTTTTGTATACAACCTTAAAAATGAAATTCAACCTCAAATGGCCTTAGAAGTGTCAGCCGTTTCTTATAAAAATCTTTAAAACAACAACAATATTCAGTACACTGAAAAAAAAGATTCATTGCATATTGTTGCAAACAATTGATATAAGCTGAATTTAAACAACAAATTAAATTGAACATTGCTAAATTTGATTTGTTTAAATTCAGTCCTTATAAATTGCTTACAACCACTTACCTTAAAAAAAAATTGTAAATCCAATGAATCTTTAATTTTCAGTGTAGCAACAAATGCACTCCACCTGATACAAATTTCAGTTAAAGAAATCTGTAAATACACCAATTACATGTTTTTAGTGTGCGTGATAAACGTCTTTAACCTCAGAGCCTGAGGCTAATCTGGTCTACAATCTTCTGTGCTGTGATTCATGAAGAGCTTGTTTCTGAACAGGTTGGATGTGCAGAAGCCTCCAGGTGAAGCATTGCAAGGGCCATTAGTCACTTGTTCAGTTAAACGAAAGAACAATGAAAGACTTCTTTGTTCCTGCTTTTAAAGCACACATAACTTCTTAGGTTAATACCAGTCAAAATCCTTCTTCTCAATCACCTTCATACCTAAAGACAGAAAGTACAACAAAAAGTGACATAATTAAAAATCTGAGAATTAAAATAATAGTAGAAATGCTAAAAAAAATTGTTAAATGCACTATAAAATATATGATCAATTAGTCATGACAGCATATATTATAGTTCATTGTAATTTTTTTAACTAAGTTAATCACATTTCAAATTAATTTTATAAGTTATGCGAGCTGTTTTAAGTGAGTTTAACATAATATAAGTTCAATGGACTCACAAGGTTAATTCAGCTTAAAAATGTAAGGCAACCAGGATTTGTACACAGTGTATACAGTATTAAGTGTGTATTAAGAGATATATACAGTCACTGCTGTTTACATAAGTGGGGTCAGTCAGATGTTATTTTTTTCTATTGTATGAATATAAATTAATACTTTTATTTAGTAAGGATGCATCAACTTAATTAAAAGGACAAGGCATACTTTTATATTAGTGCAAAAGATTATAATTTTAAATTCTTTTGAACTCTTTATTCTGGTATTTCCGAAAGACTGTAGAAGCTTGTTATATTTGGGGAATTAAAAAAACTTGATCTCAGGATTATGACTTTCTTGCAGTTTGGTTTACATCTAACAGTTTAGTTTTTTTTACACATAATTTATCACTTTATTTTTCACAAAAATACTGAACTGTGAAATATAAAAATTGCGAAAAATAAAGGTGATAAATGCTAGATATAAAAAATATATATGACTAGGATAGAGTTATATCACAATTGTGAGAAATTGAGTTGAAGTTGTAGATTTAAAAAAGAAATACCAAATTCAGGGGGAAATGTGAATTGTGGAATCTAAATTCGTATTCTTATATTATATTATATTCTTATATTACAAAGTTTAGTAACACTTTGATTTAAGGTGATGTAGTTACATTCCATGCACTTACAATAGTAATTGCAATGAATTATGCATAATTACATGTAACTAACCTTAAACCTAGCCCACATTCTAACCCCAGCCATATATAGTACAAGTGATTGATTAATATTACTTACTAATTAAATGAATAGTTAAACTTGCCACCTCAAAATAAAGTGTAAGCAAAAGTTTGAACAGCAAGATATAATGACAGAATTGTGTTTTATAGATAATATAACTATTATAAGATAAATGTGTTATAAAAGATAATAATAAAAAAGGAGAGGAAAGGAAAAAGTCCTTGGAAAATTGTGATATGCAAATGACAAATTCACAGGGTAACTGCATAACTGTGAGAATTGAGAGATATAATTTTAGAAAAATCATGAAACTGTGAGATTGCAATTATATATATGTATATATATATATATATATATATATATATATATATATATATATATATATATATATATATATATATATATATATATATATATGATCCCAAACCAAAACGAGTATAGCTCAGCTAGAAAGTAAAGACATTTACCAGGTTTTAGATTGTGCTGGTTACTAAGTCCAGGATATTTTGTCCATCCATTCATGTGGAGGTCTTGCTTTGTGTCAGGACGATCATTGTGGAGCAAGTGTAACAGTGAATTAGAGTACTGGTCCTCTGGCGCTATCAACCCATCAGGACACGAAACAGAGGGGTACATCATGGGGGGCAGAGCGAGACCCATACCATGCCTTGAATCCCCTGGCCACAAAATCCCACAGTTTGCAGGGTGATTCGGTGACATGTGATAGTTTGAATGAGACTCACTGCTTGTTCCTAACCAGAGATGTTCTGGAGGAAACATGGGTTGAAACCTGCTTTGTGACTGTGCTTCCCATTGACTGGATCCATCTAATAAAATAAAATAATAATAATAATAATAATTCAACGTTTAAATTCGCCAAGAAGTCGAATATTTTTTGTGAGAATACTGTTAAAGAACTGTTACTTGTCTGAGCAGACTTTTCCTTTGGTTTCACCGCTTGACTCAGAGCCCGGGAGAAATGCTCATCCACCATGCTGTTGATGTCTCCTTGGAAGTAGGTGAGAAGGACACTACCGGACTGCTCCTTAGTTTTCTTAGCCACTGGGTTCATTAGATCCTCCTCCATCACTAATCTAGATACTGCAGGAATGGTGTAGCATACATTGCTCATCATGTGTGATGACTTTATGTTTTTTAATGTAAAATTGCAATAGCATCCCATCATTTTATGATGTTTTTTGTATGGGGTTGATAAATGAAAGGATAAGAATAGCACAGACTGTATTATGTTCTGCATTTAATCATTAGAATTTAGCTGAATCAATGGTTCCTTGAAGAACCTTTATTTTCACCAAATACTGTAAATCATATATTGCTGTCTTATTTTTTTTTAGTTAGGCTTTTCTTGTCATTTAAACTTATATCAGTCAAGCAGACTAGCAAATATTTAGTTCAACTTTGTATAGCTACCTGATTAACTTATTAAATTAAGTTAAAATAACATAAAAACAAAATAGATAATTAAATGTTCTTCACACTAAAAAACAAATAACTGTGAACAATTTTCTTAAAGTCTTTTTAAGGATAATTTTCTACAGCATTACTGTGAAAATCTGAATTATGGAATATATAGTTAACATTATCAGTTAATTAATAAAAGGTTGGAAGCATTGACTAATTTCAACGGATATTGAGCGTCTACTACATTATTAAAATAGTTTTTTATTTGCCTGAGCTAACATAAAACGAAGATAAAAAGCTGTATTATAACACTACCAAAGCTGAATAAATATTGTAACAAATGTATTGCTCCTTGTATAAGTCAATACTACAATATTAAATAGATTCAACTAATAGCACTTGAAACTTCCTTTTTGAAAATAAGTTTTTGAAAACATTATGTGCTATTAATGAATTAAAGATTACGCCTGTATCACTTGCAGACCTATATGTTATTTATCAAATTTTGTAAATTATGTTTAAAACTTATTTCTGGAAAATGCAAAGAATTGTTTAAGTTTTTTCTAATAACATAAATGCAATCTGTTTATAGATTTCAAACAACATAAATACAAATAGTATAGTAGAATATTTAAAATATGTTCTTTTCTTGACTCCTTGATCGACGATCATTTTCTGACAGTATTCAACATTAGGCAACAATTGCAACATTTAAAGGTATAGTAATTTATATAATTAAACATATATATTTAGATCCGTATTAAATATGCAATATTTAGTTAACAATGCGGCAGTTCAGTTCATTAAGAAGTCTTAGAAATTGGCAGAATATTAAAACCCACAAACGCATGTTTTCAGACGTAAAATATAAAAGGTGAAACGTTACATTTATGTTGCAGTTATTTTAAAATGAAATGATTGCAGAAAATAGCCTCCACGGCACTTTTTTATACTCACCGTATCAAAAAATGTGAGATCTTGCTCGTTTTAATCGCTGCAACCCGATGAATCACAGTGATAAAGTAAAGGTAACATCCGCCACGTAAACATGCTGCAGGTAAACCAGTCTAATCGTTTCGCTTTGAGCAGAAGTTAAACTGATCAGGCGACTAAACTGCGACACGTTTTGCTCTTAAACGCGGGGCGTCAATCTCTGAACTTTAACCAGTATGAGTAGAATGTGACTGAACGAGTTTAACTGTCGACTCCACAGGAAAAAGACACTGACAAAACTAATGTTTTTAGGACATGTTGTTTTATTTCCTTTCACCGTTGACACTGCGGATCAGACTAAAATGTTTTCAGTCATTTTGTTTGCAAATGTATCTATCTAATAAATATTCTGTAAGCAAAGACAAACAAACTTGATATAAAGTATGCAGATGGATTAACCAAAACCCTCTTAATGTAGCATATTATGTACAAAACATTTGAATTTTATAGCACTTCTCATTACCGCTGGCAGAAAAAAACCTGCTAATTTTTTTTTAATACTGATAGTCTAAAGCAAGAATTTTTTATTAAGCTATTTCATTGTTAAACTATATATAAGTAAGTATATATTTTATGTATTTACTTATAATTTATTTATATTTTTTTTACAAATGGATAATGCATTACTGAAATGACACTCCATTACATACATTACATAACATAACCTTCTTAAAGGAATAGTTCACCCAAAAATGAAAGTGTACTCAGTATTTACTCACTCTCAAGTGTTTGCAAACCTTTATGAGTAAGACGATATTTTGAAGAATGCTATAATTTTCCATAGTTTTTCCTACTATGAAAGTCAATGGTTACAGGTTTCCAGTTTTCTTTAAAATATCTTCATTTGCGTTCAACAGAAAAAAGAAACTCATAACAGTTTGAAACAAGTAAAGATAGAGTAAGTGTTGACATCATTTTCATTTTTAGGTGAACTATGCCTTTATTTAATCTCCCTGGCTGGAAGAAATAAATAAATAATTAGTGAAACAGATTTAAATCAATGAAACAAGGAGCTTTCTAGAAATTCCTGTAGAAGTTTTTCAAAGGCTTCATTTAAGATCACTACAAAAGAAAAAACTGAATCTTCTGATTTTTTTCATTGTTTACTCTCTTGTTTCAGGAATTCATCATTGCTGGTCCCTGTGTTTGAGGTATCCGAGATCTTCCTTTCACTGGTAATTTCTGACTTCATGGATGATGAGACTTGTAGACCACCTTTCCCTTTGTCCCCCTTTGGCACAGAACGGCTCCAGTCTATTAAAAAAGAGTACATTTATATATCTTTTTAACTGTAAATGGGAAAAGTTCACTTGTTGAGTACTTTTTTAAAGATCACTTCTTTGTATTTATTGCCGGTATGTGGGTTTTTGTAAAAATAAGAATTACTATCAGAATATTTCTCTTAGTTGTATTTTTTGATTATAGTTAAAGAATAGATTTAGTTGTTTATGTGAGCCAAACCTGAATATTCAGACTCTCTGAATCTTCCACAGCAGAGATGCATCCTCCACTGCTTTCTAACATTGTCTTTCATCAAGCAATAAAACAGGAAGATAAAGAAACCTGAAATACATAAAACATTTGTCTATAGATTTATCATTCTTGCTTAGGTTTGTTTAATCTATCCAGTATTCCGGGACATTCTAAAACACACACACACACACACACACACACACACACACATATATATATATATATATATATATATATATATATATATATATATATATATATATATATATATATATATATATATATTATACAGTATTTTGCCACACCTTCAACAGCATTTGATTCTACAATTCTACTACAGTATATACTATTTACACAGTTTGCTAATACATTTTGGTTTGACAACTGAAGTAAAATTAATTTTCACACTTAAGCTTATAAATATTCATGACCTCTCCAAAAAAGGTAAAACGTTTCTGATTACCTATGCCACGTTTCTTCTATGTACATAAATCAGAGAATGGTTTAACACATTGTATCAATGCATTCTATGACACTTTTAATGCTAAAGAAAGTAACATGTAAAGATCTAATTTGAATTACAGTTTTTAAAATATATTCTACTCCACACAGGCAAGCAGATGAAGACCAAATATCATCATGGTTTTCAATGGATGGAAAACAGTTGCATTTAAATTCTGGGTTTATCTGTTTGCCTTTTTAAAAAGAAAATTACTTAAGTATGTATATTTCTAATTTAGACTCATTTCTAATAGTTTTATATGCATTCACATTCTGGGTTTATCTGTTAGCCTGTACATATGTTTACACATCACATTTATTAGGTTAAGTGTTTTAGATTGTCACAATTCCCCTAGTAGTGGAGATACTACATCCACTACTGGAATGGCAAAGAAAGCATGGACTCCCAGAGTTCATCAAGATTCTTTGGATTCATATTTAATACCTCCTCCTCCATCTTACCCCAGACATGCTCAATAATGTTCATGTTTGGTGACTGGGCTGGCCTATCTTGGAACATCTAGCCTTCTTTGCTTTCAGTAAATCTGATGTTGAGGCTAAAGTATGAGAAGGAGCGCTATCCTGCTAAAGAAATGGTAATGTAATGGGCAGCACAAATGTCTTGATACTTCAGACTGTTGATGTTGCCGTCCACTCTGCAGATCTCTCGCACGCCCCATACTGAATGTTACCCCAAACCAGCAAATTGACTGATTTCTGTGAAAATCTTGTGTCCATGCGGGTTCAAATAGTTCTTCTGCAGTATTTGTGATGATTGGGATGCAGCAGATGATTCATCTAAAAAATCTGTCTTCTGCCACTTTTCCAAATGATCAACTCGAAGTCAAGTTATCATATGTTGGTTTTACAACTGGGATCAACCACTAGACTTTTGTCAGATAGTGTAGATTAATATATGCTTTTTCTGCTTATGTTCCCATATGATCCTTTATAATCACAAATGTGCTAATACATACAATTTTGTGGCTTTTATTCTCTCTCTCTCTCTCTCTCTCTCTCTCTCTCTCTCTCTCTCTCTCTCTCTCTGAGCATTAGAAGCTCTTGTTACCTTGAAGACTGTTGAGGATGGAGAACAGGTACATCAGGGGTGTTTTGGCTGGGCCCCAACCGAAGAAGACTAGTATCCAGGTAAGTCCCAGCAGGAAGGTTAGGCTGGCCACCACTCGAAGGTCATGCAGGAACCCTTTTCTGCTGCTGGAAGGCTTGTTGACCCGCATTTTGTGGATTTGTACCAGTACCACGACAAACACGATGATATTACAGACCATGATCAGGATGGCGAACGAAACCACCGTCACATAAAAGGTCACGTCATTCTTAAACCAGCAGCTGAAAAGGATGAAAAGAGATGGTATATGACGACAATGTTCAAGAAAGAACACTAATAATAAGAACTAACTATAATAATCCATACAGAAAAACATCACATGAGCTTCACGTTAAAATCATAAATCTTTCACATGGGATTTTTAACATGTAAAGCAATGGGATGCATGTGTGGTTTTCCTGTGAGAATGAGCTTGTGTTTTTATTGCTTATTCATTAGCTGAACTAACAGAGCTTTGACTCCAACAAATTGGAAATTGGGCAGCATGGTGGCTCAGTGGTTTACACTATCGCCTCACAGCAAAAAGGTCACTGGTTTGAATCCTGTCTGGGCCAGTTGGCAATACTGTGTGGAGTTCTCCCCGTGTTTGTGCCGCTCCAGTTTTCCCCCCACAGTCCAAAGACATGTGCTATAAGTGAACTGGATTAACTTGGCTGTAGTGTATGTGTGTGAATGCGAGAGTGTGTTTCCCAGTACTAGGTTGCAGCTGGATGGGTATTCTAAATGGTTATATTTATGTAGTTATATTGTTATCAAGGGTGGATTTAGTGATTTGGGGGCTCTAGGTTGCAGTCATGGGGCCCAACAGTACTAAAATTCACCTTTTGTAGTTTTATTAATTTTTTATTTTATTTTTCTAATATCATTAAATCTTCTTTTCTATGTATTATCATAATGAAATCTCTTTTAAATATTTAGTTTTCTTGAAATCATTTTCACAACTAAAAAAATGAATTAATCGAAAATAATAAATAGTTTTTAAAATCGAATCTTTACCTGACTTGACTGCTCCATGATTAGGGGTGTATAAGACAAATTTGTGTAGATGTTATAGTTATGTACATTTTTATTTGTTAGACTCTCACCATACAAAATATGATAAAAAACATGTTAAAATTTTTATGTATGTAATTTATACTTCTATGTATTTATTGGGGCCCCCAAATTTCCTGGGGTCTTAAGTGGCTGCTTACTTTGCTTATTGGTTAAATCCGCCCCTGATTGTTATGCTTCGTTATGCATGTAGATGGATTATGCTTTGCTTGGTTATTACTTTGAAAAACCAAATGTGGATCACATTTCTTCACATGCTCCACATGATTTTAAAATTGTAAAGCGCATGTGTTTTTGTAAGGGTTGAAATACACAAAAATGTATTATATGATTGTGCATTTAAAATTTTCCACCTACAAGGCAGTAGATTCTTGGAGAAGGTCTGTGGAGAGGCTGGTGCCATATGAATTGAAGTCAATGGCAAGCACTAAAATTACAACTGACAAAGGTATACCTGTAAAAAAAAAACAACAGTTTTGGAATTAACAGACTAACACCGCCTCATTCTGTAAACATACCACTATATACATTTCTAGAGAGCGACAAATATGTCCCAGGAGCTATGTTTTTTTTCAGTTTTTGTTTTCACTAATCCATCAAAGGCTGCTGTGTACGCTTTTTCAGATCGAAATTTTTTTTTGGTGAGTGTAATTCGTGCCTGCTGTTCTTGCATAAATCCACCAGAGGCTGCTGTCGACTGACTGAATGACTGACTGAATGACTGACTGACTAATCGTACATGGAGACTGGACAAACTGGTAACAGGAGGAAAGCTGTCCATACAGAGGTAAGCGGTTAGCTGTTAAGCACGAAAAGGAGTCATACCACCCAGTAGCATTTGTTTTAAAGACGAAATGAAGCTGTACGTACTTTTGGTTACATAATTCGCGATCTCCAGAAATGTTTAGGGCTATGTTTTCAGAATGAGCCTATGTTGCAACAAACAGAAGCTCTTCATTTGATTCTTAAATGTTACACAGATATATTCTAATAATAGAAAGTTCATTCAAATACAAACTTCACAG